AGTAATTGACAGATGAACCAGACTCAAATTCAGCCAGACCTCCACATTCATCTCCCTGTTCATCATTATTATTCACAAGTCAATCCCACAACTTATAAACAACCAAAGAAAAAGATTGAAACACCTTTTCAGGCAAGTTACCACTTCATCTTGACGATTACTCAAGCAACTGCTGCCACTCAAGCTGTCAGCATCACTAGAATCCTCTTCACTGACTGGATATGCATGATTGTCTGAAGCGTTCCATGAGTAGCGACTTGTGAAGTAACTGGTGTCAAGGGCACTTTCTGATGCAGGGACAAACGCAGCCTACAGAATACAAAAAGTCTCAAAAAGATGCAAATTTATCCATATAATCTATAATATATGGCAAGAGATATCCATACCTTCTGTCTAGCAAGTGTGTCCCAGTTAATATCTTTGAAGAATACATGTTGCTTAACCTGGATCATTAATTTATATTCAATTATATCCTGACATATGAGAAAGGTTTGGGTAATCGACTGTCAAACATATAAAACTTAAAATCACCTCTGATGCTCCCCTGTATCCAAGTCTCAGTTGAGGATCTTCTGTTAATAGTCTGGAAAATGAATATATTGGAAACTAAGTACTGAATAAACTATATAGGTTCAATAGACCAGACTTGATATTTTGGTTATGAAGCATTGGTCCATAATAAATAAAAACACTAGAATAACACCAGAATGATGTACTGACAAGCATGAAAGTGCTGATATTCACAAACAATCCATTCACAAGAAGTGAAGCATCCTTTTCCCTAGCTAACAAATTATTGACACAACTTCAAGAGTAACATGTTATAAGAAGCATTGAGATGTTCAATTGGTAAGATGCTTGTGTGTTTAAGAATCTAGATTTGACATCTCTAAAGTGAAAACATGAAGGTTTAACTTATAGTTTGGCAACAAAAAATAACATAATTGTCCATGTTTGCTTCTCGATGCTGCTTGTGAGCATATACTCGCTATTGATTATCTCAATAAAAAAGAAAAATTCTGGTGAATGGATATTTTCTTTGCAAGAATGCTGTGAGGACTTTTGGTCATCTTTTACTTTGTCAAGATGTGCTACTTCATACTGTTTCTGTCTATGAATTTGACTCTCCTCAAAGTGCAGTTGGGCGTGGCTGGTTCAGTGCCAAATGAGAGGAGTGTGGAAGCATCTTGGTTGCTAAGAGAAGAAAGAAACCGGCTACTTTATGGTTTATTTGGAAGTGAAGAAATAGAAGAGTCTTTAAGGATGTTTGATACTTTTTTATTCTTCTGATGGCACATGGGATGTTTGCTTCCAAACTTCTCTTTTTTGTTCAAGGATCACCCAATCAATTCAGCAAAAGATTCCAAGGGACATCATAGACATCTTATTAACTAACTAGTAAATTCTGCCAATTGTATACTTATTTTGTATTTGGATAACACCCCTTTGGTGCTCTTTTCATCTTTTCCCTCTTAAAAAAACAATAATTAACCCAATTGTCAAAGCACATGCCAATGATACAGACAAAATATTTCTATGGCTATATTCTCCTTTGTTTCTAAGCAGCGAAGCTTCCAAAAAAAATATCTTGGCATTCCATAAGAGTCAAAATATAAAGATATGAAGATGTGGGATCCAGTAATTGATTTGTTTGAAAAAAGGCTTGCAGGATGGAAAATGAATTACCTTTCTAGAGGAAGGAGATTAACACTTATTAAGATTATGTTGACTAATCTTCTCATCTATTATTTATCGGTGTTGACCGTTCCTGTAAATATTGCTAAGAAACTTGAAAATATTCAATGCCGATTCCTTTGGGAGGATGAAGAAGGAACCACAAGATATCATCTTGTCAAGTGAGATGAAGTGAAGAGGTCTTTGGGGGAGGGGGGTTTGAGCTTAAGATCTATTGTTGAGATAAATTCTGTACTTCATGGTAAATGGTTATCGAGGTTTTTTCGGATGATAGAAAGCTG